AAACACGTCGCGCTGGTGGCTGACTATCTTTTGAATAACACACGTAACACACACACTCACTCGCGCTCGCACGCGACACGGTCGTAAAACACAATGACCGAGGGCACCGGGACGACAAATAATATTCGCCGGAACGATAGAAAAACACGAACAACGATATTATTATATTATATATATTTTCGCGCAGTCCCGTCGTCGCCGCCGCCGCCGTCGTCGTCGTGACATTTGTCTTTCCCCCTCTTTCCCCTCTACCGCTCCGCCGACGACGCCACACCCTCACTCAGCAAAACCACCCCAACCCACCACCCCCTCAAAAGCCCGGCGGGGTCACTGAGCTCTGCCCATAAACGTCAATAATGATGGAATGCCGACGGCGTTACGTCATTCATACCACCCTTTGGTGTACGAAAAAAATAAAAATCCCGACGACAACAACAACAACAACAAGACTGCCACCGTGCATGTGTACCACACACGCAAAACACGATTTTTTGACTTGCATAGTACGACCATTGATTAAATATTTAATTTTTATATTTAATCAATGGTACAAGTAAGTTTTGTACCACAGCTTCTATCACGATGTAGATAATTATCCACATCGTGGCTTCTATCTACGGTCGTCGTCGTGTTGTGTACCTACAAAATACTATCAATAATGCTTTCAGTTGATAATATTTGAGAATTTGGCACTGAGCTTTTGATCGGTTCGTTGCGATTCAGCGGCATCTGTTGAAATATTTTCTTCTTGTTTCCCTACCAACAGTGGCGGTGGGATATAGGATTATTTGAAGCAATTGCTTCATGTCTGAAATGGGTAGGTGAGTGGGTGTATAAATTTATATATAATCGTAAGACCTCAACACAAATATCATGGCAAATATTGTAATCAATAATTATTAATGGCCCCTGCTGTTAATTTTGCTTCAATGAAGGGTAAGATGGTAAAAATATTTAAAATATACAATATATGCTTCAAATCCTCCTCAATTTCGCGCCGCCACTGCTTACCAATCGGCAATCACCCATATCAAACAAATGCAGTAGTAAACTAAATGTATGCACACCAGTAAAATGTCGTCGGCACAGAGAGCGGGGTTTCACTAAAAGTCATTCGACATTATTCTCCGAGAGGGCGACATTTTAGGGGATGTCGTTGTCACCGACAGATGGCACGTACGATTTAAAAAATTATTTTTACCAGTGGGTGAGTTTGGTTACTAGATGGAGTGGTGTATACATGATTTTTCAAAATTTAACTATAATAATATTCTATAACGACTTCGTAATCAGACGAGTAAGAAACTATAAGAAACATCGTCAAGAGGACGCTTCACTGATATTTGTTGTCTCCGTCTTACAAGTGCGTATAACATACCAAATTTACGCTCAGCAGATCACGTATAACTATGTTAGTTTAAAAACTTGAGTGAATCGAACTATTACGAAACCTGATGGTAAGAATAATATCTGTGGGTTTTTCGATAACTTAGTTTTTTAGTGTGTAATGAGCATTTTTAATTTACGTTATGTTATTTACGCATAATTTGCTAAAAAATTGAACTATCGTAAGAATCCCACATACAAACATAGATAATATTCTCAACATCAAGTTTCATAACGATTCACTCTAATTTTTAAACTAACGGAGTGATCTACTGAGCTTAAATTTGCTATGTTACGAACTTGTAAGGCGGAGAAAACAAATGGATGTGTAGCTTTTAATGCTTAAGTACCACCGTCCACTGTTCTATATTATATCCTAGCATTTTTACAATACTATTGTCTATTACTAAAACAAGAATTTAGAGTTATTATTTATTACTATGGGTTATAGTAATAAGTAGCCTAATGTACAAATAAGAATTCAAGAAAAGTAAATCCAGAATAATAAATTAAGAAGTATAAAGTTATGGTATTGTATTTTAAATGCGCGGGAAACACAAATACAATTATTTAAATTTTAATTAAAAATCATGGACCAATTTTTTGGTAAATATCCTACTAATATTATAAACGCGAAAGTTTGTTTATTTGTTACTCTCTCACGTAAAAAATACTGAATGGATTTTAATGAAACTTTACAATAATATAATTTATACATCAGAATAACACATAGGCTACAAATCATCCCCCTAGGTCCAACCAGGGGATGTGCTCAAACGGGGATTTAGAGATTAACGGTGGAAATTTTTGTTTATAAATGGTTGCCATGGGTTTTAAAACTATTATAATAAATAATTATTAGTTGCCGTGAAAGTAGTGTATTCATTCAATGCATTTAATTTTTTTGTACTCTGTGTTTTGATATTATATGTATCACAATAAATTACGTAAATATTGAGAGTATTATATACTCACACATAAGTTACGTACATAAAACAATCACGATGCCACGTATTCATGGACGAGGAAGAAATATTGGTCGACAGACTCAGCATTCACAATTAGTCCAACCGTTTAGGAGGAGTTCAGTAACATACTTGGACACTTGGTATAACTTAGATACTTTATAGAGTTAAATTATAAAGTTCCGTACAAACAGCACGGGGTCCGCGATCTACAGCATATTGCCTACCTGATATATACTGCTGCGAATCAGAATTTTTATTCCAGGCAACAGAAAAGTTAAGATAAATTTTGAACACCATACACCGAATATTAAATAACGAATTGAACAAAGTTTGAGCCATATAGAGTTGATACATTTAACGGGAAACGAAGTGCACGGGATTAGCTAGTTATAATATAATATGATTTCAAAAAATAATAGAAAATAATATGTAGGTATTTATAGAATTAATATAATAATCTAATATTTTTTAAATTTGTTACGTTTAATTTATCAAAAATGGTTTTTTATTTATATTTTTTAAAATGGGTTGCAAGATTATAAACATAATATAATATTATATTATAATCAATATTTAAACCACTTGTAATATGCATAATACAGTTCTCCATACCTCCACGGGAATTCTAGTGTTCATATTTTATATAAATCCATGAACAATAATAAATTTTTTTTAAAGCTGATATAGGTAGTTGAGTAGTATGGATAAATTAAAATTAATATATTTTTTATCATTGACTATTGACTAGAGGCCATATTGATTTAATCTTTACCGATGATTAGTATTTATAGAATACAAACTATTTTACGTATTTTATATATTAAAGGTACCTATTATATTACTTACTATAGTATTAAATACTTAAAATAGTAATATAAATTAAATTCAATAATGCATACAAATACAGGACTTTATCAAGGTTGTAATGATTATTGATGATATCGTTGGGTAGAATAATATTAAATAAATGATAATAGTAAATAATGACTTAAGACTCGCAAGTGGTTAACTATTTCAGTAGGTAATTGAAAGTTTGAAGTATTAAGTTTAATAAATACTACACAGTAGGTATAGTTGTGATCAAAATTAAAAATATTATTTACATTATAAATAAATCAATATTTTAAGATAAAAATTAATGTAGACTATTTATTGCATTTAAAGAATTATATTAACATAGGTAATATAAACATATTTGTTTGTATATACATATAATAATAAATTAAAGTTGAAATGTAACAAACAAAATTATTTTGATAAAAGTATTACTACATTTTATTCATTTCATAAATCATAGTATCTAATATAATATGTATAATTCACTGATATTATTATGCAGGTAATTTATTGTAGGTATAAACGTACTACGCGTAATATTATAAAACTTTTCTATAATGTTAATTATTTTAAGGATTATTAACTATTGTTTATTGAAAATTTAAATTCTATAGACCTCGCATATAAGTGGTTGAATAAGATTATATATTTTTTTTTTTACTGACCAGTAGTATAGTAATGTCAAATTATTTAATTATTATAAACTATTCATAATTTAATATAAGAATTATTAAACAGAATATATTAATATTATTCAAAAATATGACACATTAAAATAAGTCTACTATGCCTAACCATAGTAACCACAGCCGGGACAGACGCAGGGAGACTGCTGGTGTCGAGATCAGACAGATGGGTGTCGTCCGAGCCGAGGAAGTAATTTATGTAGGTATAGATGACGACATAATAATATATATAATAAAGATTATGATGATAGTCACTCTTGTTAGCCATTCATTAAATAGTGGCTATAATTTACAGCAGGTATGTACGATTTTTAATTATGATGTAATAAAACAAACAAAATCCAAAGAGAACGCGTGTGGCAGGTCAAAGATACAAAGATAAACGAATTCATAATTTTTAAAAGACAATACGACAAATTATGACTGTTATTTTATGTGTAACGAGTTGAACGTATCTTATGCATTCAATAATTATATTATTTTATAGTACGTATACAACGATTACATCGAGAACACTTTAAGGAATCATTATAAAATAACTTTTAAGATTTACCAAATATTCTCAATAATTAGTCAAACACAATTTATAATTTACCATGTCTATATCGAACGGTATAAGCTATATAACTAAATTCAATGATGCGCATTCTTAATAAAGAAGTAAAAATATAACTTTTAATCCTATAATTGAAAGCACATCTCCCTCAAATGTTTTAAGTACTTCAAAAACGTAAATAGAATATGTACGTCAAAATTAACGAAGTACGATTTAAGCGCTCAAGTTGAATCATTTGGACATTTTCAAAAGGGTAAAGTATAAAAATAAATAAAAGAGTACATACAAGTAGAGACGGGGAATCCCTGACTGAAACAAGGGGCGCGTTCGATAAATTCGTAACCATGGATACCATCTCTCGGAAAACTACCAATGGGAGCGTTTTAAAAAAGCTCCCTACAGTTTGTAATCCACATGCAAATTCCCCCCTCGCCATCCCTCTTTTATTCCCACTATATCGTAGTATGACTGCAATTAAAGAGCTTATTCAACCAGCAAAAACCCTTTCCCCGAGGCAGCTTAAAAGCAAATTCCTCTTTATTTTCATTTGTAAAACTAAAAGAAAGATTAATCAACATAAAATTCTGAAAAATACCTGTGATTAGAATCCGTATGCAGGTCTTGTCTCACTCCTGGAGTTACAATCGCAGGATGAGAATGATGGGTATGGTGGGATAAATGGTGATGAGGTGATGGACCACCCATCAGTCCCGTCGGTGAAAACCTATACAGCTCACTAAATAAAAATACACAATATTTTGTTATGAATATAATACTTAAATATAAATAACAAAGGTGCATTTAAAGAAGTTCCGCCCAAGTGAAGCGTATTTTTCCGCCCATTTAGTACGTTATATTTTATATATAATATATTATATTATATTTATCTACCAAATAATAAAAAAAAAAACAACATATCATAGGTAGTAAAAATATAATCGAAATAAAATTAATTTATACTACGTTAAATAGGATATATTATAATGAAATATAAGTTTATAAGCATTATGATTTATATATAATTGTTATTTTTTATATTTTCCATGATAATTAGGTTTAAAAATATATTCAATAAAAGAAAGAGTACCATTAAAAAAGGCTTTGAAATTTTTCCTCATGTGGCATAGTTACTCATATTATCAGTGACATTCTTCTTTACAGGCTAATTTGACGTTTAATTCTGATTTTAGATTCTGAGTGGAACGATGAATGTATTGATTTTACAATGATGTGTTTTTTTTTTTTTTTTTGGTATCTGTGTACACGATAAGTAGTCGAAATAATGCTTCGATTTTAAACAACAGTATCTTGTTTGATGGGAAAGTGAATATTGTTGGTGCATTCGGGAGGTCAAATTTAAAAATTAATAATAGTTTTCAAAAGTGCCGGGAAAAACAACATAAAAATTAAGGAAAAACGGGAATTTTTACGCAAAATCGATTTTGGTTTTTGGTGTTACTCAAAAACAAATGAACTTATATACATGAAATTTTTACTGGTCGTTTATATTTGCATTTTCTATACACGATAAAATTTTCAAAATATTTTGATTTGTTTTGAGCTGTTTACGGATGTACTCAGTTTCCAACTTTTTTAGATTTATTTTCTATGAATGTCAGTAAAACTTTATTTATTAGGGAAAAAAGCTTGAAAATTTAATACAAAGCTCCTATTATGTTGTTACAATGACATTTGAAAAATATTAAAAATCCTTAGTAACAGTTTTTTTTATAAGCATTTAAAGTTCAAATATTGACAAAATACGGAAAAAACACAACAAAATTTGCAAATTATTTTTAGTTAGAAATTCATAAAAATATTTCTTTTTAAATCTAAGATTTGAAAATTTAATACAAGATTTCTCATAAGTTTGTATACCTTTATCAAAAAAAAATGTCTACCGGAAAGTTAAATTAAATTTTTTTGAACATTTTAAATTCATATTTTTACAAAATTTGTTAATCACTCGATTTCTCACGTAACGATTTTCTTATTTTGATATAATTCAAAAACGAATGACTCTAGATACATGCAAATTTCACTGAATGTTTATTTTATCAATTCTTATACTTGGTAAAAGTTTCAAAATATTTTGACTTCTTTTGAGCTGTTTACGGACAATTTAATATTTCAATTTTTTAATTTTTTTATTCTATGAATATCCATAAAGTTTTATCTGTTGGGCGAAAAAATGTAAACATTTAATACAAGACTCCTGATATATTGTTACAATAGCAGTTGAAAAATATTAAAAATACACAGGCGCATTTTTTTTTTTTATTTAAATATCAAATTTTGACAAAATTTATCAAATTTAAAATTGAATAATTATTTTCTAGCTTAAAATTTATAAAATGTTCAACTTATATATATAAGGATTGAAAACTTAAAACAAGATTCCATGTAAGTAGTTAATTCTGTTACAAAAAATCTAAACAATATACAAACACAGTTTATTTTTATAGTCAATTTAAGTTCAAATTTGGATGAAATTACATATTAAAAAACCTGGAATAACTATTTTTGTTATTTTGTTGTGATTGTATAATATTATTCGTGGGTACTTAAAACTTCTAAATTGCACTATTATATATCTATGATAGTATCAGGGTTTGTTGTTGATGTTTAACGCGTTATAAGTACCTAATGGATATTGTGATATGATTAATTTGGAATTTATCATAGATACTTATTATAGGTTAATTTTTTTTTAATACCATAGATATGTATATAATATGTCTTATACCTAGATTGACATACCGTCTCCGCTCAGAATCGTTTTTCTTATACAATGATATTATAACATTGAATTCAAATTTAATACCATCCATTATATACAGTGACCCACTTGCAACCTACTGTACAGCAGAGCACCTTTTTTTAATTAAATATACACATTTTAAGAGCAATACTATTTTTTAGATTCTGAGTGAAACGATGAATGTATTGATTTTACAATGATGTGTGTTTTTTTTTTTATTTTTTTTTTTATTTTTTTTTTATTTTATTTTTTATTTTTATATTTATTTTTTTTGTGTCTGTGTACACGATAAGTAGTCGAAATAATGCTTCGATTTTCGACTTCAGTATCTTGTTCGATTGGAAAGTGAATATCGTTGGTGCATTGGGGAGGTCAAAATTTAAATTTCCCAGTAGTTTTCAAGAGCGCCGGGAAAAACAAAAGAAAAATTAAGGAAAAACGGGAATTTTTACGCAAAATCGATTTTTCAGAAAATTGAATTTGGTTTTTGGTGTACCGTAAGAGCGGGATACTTTGCTCCAAATATATTTCTTTTTTAGTTTGAACCTATACTATAGCTTCAATAACAAAGATAAAAATTACCTGTTCGCGTTGTTTTATATGTATAGATGTTAAGAGGTAAGAACAATTCAAAAAAAGGTGGGTAAGTGGATGTCGCTCTGCTGTACAGTAGGTTACAAGTGGGTCACTGTATAATGGATGCTTTTAAATTTGAATTCAATGATACAATATCATTGTATAAGAAAAACGATTCTGAGCGAAGACGGTATGTTAGTCTAGGTTTAAGACAAATTATATACATATCTATGGTATTAAAAAAAAATTGACCTAAAATAAATTCCAAATTAATCATATCACAATATCCATTAGGTACTTATAACACGTTATACACCAACAACAAACCCTGATACTATCATATATATATAATAGTACACTTTAGAAGTTTCAAGTAGGTACCCACGAATAATATTATATAATCACAACAAAATAACTAGGTTTTTTAATATGTAATTTCGTCCAAATTTGAACATAAAATGACTATAAAAATAAACTGTGATTGTATATTTTTTAGATTTTTCGGTAAGAGAATTAACTACTTACGTGGAATCTTGTTTTAAATTTTCAATCCTTAGCTATAAAAACTGAACATTTTATAATTTATTAATTACGATGATTAATAATTTTCGAGATTTTGAAAAATTCTGTCAAAATTCGATGTTAAAATGCTTATAAAAAAAAATTGTGCCTATGTATTTTTAATATTTTTCAACTGATATTGTAACAATATATCAGGAGCCTTGTATTAAATTTTTACACTTTTTGGCCCAACAGATAAAACTTAATTGATATTTATAGAAAAAAAAAACTAAAAAAATTGAAAACTGAAAATGTCCGTAAACGGCTCAAAAAGAGTCAAAATATTTTCAAAATTGTATGGTGTATAGGAAATGCTAATATAAACATTCAGTGAAATTTTCATGTATTTACAGTAATTCGTTTTTTAATTACAACAAAAAAAGGAAATTGCCACATGAGAAATCGAGTGAATATCCAATGTTGTAAAAATTTGAATTTCAAACGCTCATAAAAATTTAATTTGACTTTCCGGTAGAGATTTTTTTATTGATAAAGGTAGACAATCTTATGAGTAATCTTGTATTAGATTTTCAAATCTTAGATTTAAAAAGAAAAATTTTTACGAATTCTTAACTCAAAATAATTTGCTAATTTTCGTGATTTTTCCATATTTTGTCAATTTTTGAACTTTAAATGCTTATAAAAAAAAATTGTGACTAAGGATTTTTAATATTTTTCATCTGCCTTTGAAACAATATATTAGGAGCCTTCTATTAAATTTTCAAGCTTTCGCAACCAACAAATAAAATTTTATTGATATTTCTAGAAAAAAAACTAAAAAAAAACGAAAAATGAAAATGTCCCTAAACAGTTCAAAATAAATCAAAATATTTTGAAAATGTTATCGTGTATAGAAAATGCAAATATAAACAACCAGTGAAAATTTCATGTATATACGTTCATTTGTTTTAAAGTTACACCAATAACCAAAATCGATTTTTTGGAAAATCAATTTTGCGTAAAAATTCCCGTTTTTCCTTAATTTTTATGTTGTTTTTCCCGGCGCGTGTGAAAACTACTGGGAAATTTAAATTTTGACCTCCCCAATGCACCAACGATATTCACTTTCCAATCGAACAAGATACTGAAGTCGAAAATCGAAGCATTATTTCGACTACTTATCGTGTACACAGATACAAAAAAAATAAAAAAATAAAAAAATAAAAAAATAAAAAAATAAAAAAATAAAAAAATAAAAAAACACACATCATTGTAAAATCAATACATTCATCGTTTCACTCAGAATCTAAAATCCGAATGTCGTACTAGTGACTTACTTACTTATTCCCAAAAGTTTGGAGCAAAGTTAAAATACATTGCAGGTTACATTGCACAATGATTAAAATTACCTTACTTTAATGCATATAATAACTATTGGTGCAATGTTTAGTGCTTGTGTTTTAACTTATTTGAACCTATACATAATATAATTTAATAATATATATTTTTTTTTTTTTTTTTAGTTGATTAAAAGTCTTTTTTCAATACATTTTAAATTAAATTTCAATCCCCTAGATTTTGGATAACTTTTCCGTTATGTATTTTTGTGTTTTTGAAAACCATTTTTTACATGATATACATCTTGGAGGAAAACTAATAGATTCATGTCCGTAATGTTTGAAAAAATTAGTAATGTTAATAAGAATAATATAAAATAAACTACAATCTCTGATCTCAAAATCGTAATGTGCTACGATTGATATCAATAAAAATTTTTTTTGGAGCAATGTTTAACCCCTGGAGTAAAGTATCCCGCTCTTACGGTAACTTTAAAACAAATGACCGTAGGTACATGCAATTTTCACTGGTTGTTTATATTTGCATCTTCTATACACGATAACATTTTCAAAATATTTTGATTTATTTTGAACAGTTTAGGGACATTTTCATTTTTAGTCTTTTTTTAGTTTTTTTTCTAGAAATATCAATAAAATTTTATTTGTTGGTTGCGAAAGCTTGAAAATTTAATAGAAGGCTCCTAATATATTGTTTCAAGGGCAGATGAAAAATATTAAAAATCCTTAGTCACAATTTTTTTTTATAAGCATTTAAAGTTCAAAAATTGACAAAATATGGAAAAATCACGAAAATTAGCAAATTATTTTGAGTTAAGAATTCGTAAAAATTTTTCTTTTTAAATCTAAGATTTGAAAATCTAATACAAGATTACTCATAAGATTGTCTACCTTTATCAATAAAAAAATCTCTACCGGAAAGTCAAATTAAATTTTTATGAGCGTTTGAAATTCAAATTTTTACAACATTGGATATTCACTCGATTTCTCATGTGGCAATTTCCTTTTTTTGTTGTAATTAAAAAACGAATTACTGTAGATACATGAAAATTTCACTGAATGTTTATATTAGCATTTCCTATACGCCATACAATTTTGAAAATATTTTGACTCTTTTTGAGCCGTTTACGGACATTTTCAGTTTTCAATTTTTTTAGTTTTTTTTTTCTATAAATATTAATTAAGTTTTATCTGTTGGGCCAAAAAGTGTAAAAATTTAATACAAGGCTCCTGATATATTGTTACAATATCAGTTGAAAAATATTAAAAATACATAGGCACAATTTTTTTTTATAAGCATTTTAACATCGAATTTTGACAGAATTTTTCAAAATCTCGAAAATTATTAATCATCGTAATTAATAAATTATAAAATGTTCAGTTTTTATAGCTAAGGATTGAAAATTTAAAACAAGATTCCACGTAAGTAGTTAATTCTCTTACCGAAAAATCTAAAAAATATACAATCACAGTTTATTTTTATAGTCATTTTATGTTCAAATTTTGACGAAATTACATATTAAAAAACCTAGTTATTTTGTTGTGATTATATAATATTATTCGTGGGTACCTACTTGAAACTTCTAAAGTGTACTATTATATATATATGATAGTATCAGGGTTTGTTGTTGGTGTATAACGTGTTATTAGTACCTAATGGATATTGTGATAATGTGATATGATTAATTTGGAATTTATTATAGGTCAATTTTTTTTTAATACCATAGATATGTATATAATTTGTCTTAACCTAGACTGACATACCGTCTTCGCTCAGAATCGTTTTTCTTATACAATGATATTGTATCATTGAATTCAAATTTAATAGCATCAATTATACAGTGACCCACTTGTAACCTACTGTACAGCAGAGCGACATCCACTTACCCACCTTTTTTATAGATAATTATTACTTTTTTAGTACTATTTGGTTATTATGCTGATTTTTTTTTTTACTACACATGCCATTATTTTAGTCATCTATATTCAATTATTTACCATCTAATATAAAATGTATACAATTATATTACATTCAAATTTAAAGTTAAGTTAAGTTTAAAAGTCTAAATAAACTTTATAAAATGAATTTATTTTTATTCTTAAATTTATTGGAAACGTTGTTAGTACGAAATATTTACTAGGCTACTACACTTCCCACCAAAACCAAACAAAAGTTTAGCATATTATGTCATTGATAAAAACATATTGTATAATATAAAATATTATATTATTCTAGAATTCCTCTATAATATATACATAATAGGTATAACAACATCAAATATAAGATATAATTCTAATTGATCAATTATAGAATGAACTCAAATAATGAACTTATTTTAAATATTTTGTTAAAATTGTATATACCTAATGCACACAAAGTTCAAAGTAGTGTATGTATATTTCTAATAACACATAATATAATAAATATACATCTATAATAGATAATATTAAATAAGTTTAAAAAACGGGAAAGTCATTCGACAATATATAGGTAGTATCTAGGTGTTGTTTGAGTGTACCAAAACTGAGTCAATAGGTAATTGTAGTATAGATCATTGTAATGGATGTGTTAAATTTGAATATTTATGTATAATAAATTATTGCATATGTAAAATAATTCTGGTCTAAGACAGTATTGTATCAACCTATATTTATATTAATAACATTGTAGATTGATCAAATTTTTCCAAAAATAAACAACTATTATTTTTTGAATTACAACAAAATAACTAAAACCGTTATTTTTGTTTGGATAGGTATCCAATTTCATCAAAATTTGAACTTAAAATGTCTATACAATTACATCAATATACAATTTCTGATATTCTTAGATTTTTTTAATAATATAACTTTTGAAGAACTTCGCATATATCAAAACGACAAAACCTAATAGATTCACTCTATAATTTAAAGTCTTATTAAACTGACAGTTTTAAACTTCAAAATATAATTATTTTTAAATGTTCATGATTAAGACGAATCTTGTCAAATTTTGAAGTTTAAATGCTTGATCAAAAATAATTTGACCATGTTTTTCAATATCGTGGAATTGCTAAAACTTATGTTTATTACAATTTCAAGCTTTTTAACCGATCATAAAAATTCAAAAATTCAAAACGTCTATAAATTACTTTAAATATTTTGAAGAATACATACAATGTATAAAGAAAATGATAATTTAAGTAAAATGTTGCAAGTTATTAATAATAGCAAGACAATAAAAGTGATGAAATCACTATAAGTCTATAAACTACCTATATTATAATAGTTTTTAGTTTTAATGTTGTAACTTAAGTTTATTGTTTACCTATATAATTGTTTAACATTTTGTCGATTATTAAACGTGTAGATAAGAATATTATCTTTATAATATAGCTAGTAGTTAGATACTTTACTTGAATAGATTACTTAGGCAGCTTAAAATTGTATGAGTAAAACGTATATTAATACTTATATGATGGTTGTAACTCACCTAGTTAGGCTTGTGCCTAATGAAGGTGGGTAGGATCCTCTGAAACCAGTTCCAGCCGATGAGATCTGATGGTACATACTGGCCGGTGTGTGCCTAAAAAAAATAAAAACAAACACAGTATAAAAATTGTATAATCAAAAAGCTAAACCCTTGTTATTTGAAAGTATAAAGGACGGAAAGCATAGTGGAAGAAAAGCGGCTTAGATAAGTTTTGCGAGGGAGTAAAGAGATCGTTTCTGGTGAATTACGGAAGCCGTCGGCTACGAAAAGCCGATTGATTTCCCAAACTGAGAAAAAAAATAGGGGAGAAAACCGATTTTCCTGGTAACAAATTGACCGGAATAAGAACAAACAAGGGTCAGCGTGGTGGACAAACTAGATTAGAGGTTTTCACGGGGCGTCAACTGACCACGCCCCACTACTTTCGAGAGTTCACACGCAATAGTTTGGTGTTTAAATGATTTATAAAAATTAACAACTTTTTTTTATATTCACCGTATTTAATGATTACTTTTATAAGTTATGATTTGAATTATTGACAAAAATATTTTGATAGAATTATATGTAGGTAAAAATGACCACTATACTGTTATATTTATGAATTATAACCACCTATATTGGTAGTAAGCTAAAAATAGTTGATAATAATATTATCACTCTTACAAAAAATAAAATGTGATCACTCATTTGGGTTTTTTTTAATTCAGTAATTAATATAATAAATAAATAAATAATATGAACATTTTAACAACATCATATAACTATTTAACTTATAATGGTATACATTATACTTATTTAATTGACTCAGTGTTACTGAAATAATTATTTTAATTTAATTTCAACATCGATCTAATTTAATATATTAGATTTTATGAGGAAATCTATTTTTTGAGAACATACTCTGATAAGTTTTAAATGATTTGTATCATAGTAATTAATACAAAATATATAAATAACGCAGGAATGCACGCGAACCAAGTTTTTCTTTTAATTTTCGATGACTTTCCATAATATTTATAATTCAAAATAAAACAATTCAATTATTAAATTACATTAGGAATGCGTTCAGAGGGAAAAATAATTAAAAATAGTAACATTTTATAAGTACTTACCATGAGGCTGCAACTTGTGACATGTCCGGACTTAATAACGGATAAGGGTACTGGCCTGTGGGAAATGGGTACATTGAAGGCCTCGGGAGTCCTAAATAAAATAAACAATAGTTAATATACCTATCAGAATTTTTAAATACAATATTTAATTTTTTTAATTAATTTAAACGTTGAATATTTATTTTAATAATTACATTCGAATTATATTCTAATATTTGTACCAATAATTGAATATTTTTTATTTCACTGAACCGAATAAATGTGCCATTTGGTTCCATCCAAATTTTTGGGATAATATAAAAGCCACTCGGGCAGTGTAAACGAAAGGGTCTTAAAATGCGTTTAGATTTTTGAAAGCGCACTCGACTAAAAACAAAGGGTAGGTATCGATTCTGTACATTATGGATTTTTCCACTTTGGTAATGTTAATACTTGAACAATAAAACCTTCCACAAAGTTTTATAAAAAAAAATCATCTACTGTTATTTATATTATATCCATAAATTATTTATTTTTATTTTTTTGTAATCCGTAATAAATAATATCATGTTAAAAATAGCATAACATATAATGTGTATAATATATGTTATTTTGAATTTTTATGTAGATGTGTGCGTTTAGCGTGATTTTTAAGAAAATTTATTTTAAATAGACGGCGCAGTAGTCCAATTATAAATGATGTAAATACAATATACATTACACATTGTACATAGGATATATTAATCTTATAAGAGTTGTATCCTACAAAAAATATTTTATATAATTCACACGTATGCATTTAGACATTTAGTTTAAAATAATGCAAATTACGTAAAATACGCAGAAAAATTAGGTCGAGAGTACTATTATGTTGAGCTCAACACACTCGAACGTTTCACACTCTAGATGTACACTTGGGCTTATATACGAGAAAAAAGTAGTATACTTTTACGCAGAACTTTACTTCAATTAAAATATATAAACCGTACAAATGAGGGACCGATTAAAATTTGACCAGGAGGTTCGTTATGCATAGCCATAGGGGCGAGCAAAATAATTGTTAAAAAGTCGAGGACTTTTTTTTTTAAACCCCTTTTTTTTGTGTCACCGTAATTATCATGGCATAACGGTATTGTTTTCACCGCAGGCCTTTTTAAAGGATTGGCTTCGTCAATGTCTACACGCATTCATATTTAGGGGTTCTTTAGCTTTAAAGGGTGAGAATAAAAATCGATATTAAAAAAAAAATGTACTCACCGGGTGCTTTGTCAAGTTGGTAAGGAGGTATGCCCATATGGGCGGGTGGTGGTTGGGTACCCAGCTGCTCGCCGTTGTGGCAAAAGAATGGATGGGCTGGTCCTAAACCAATCTTGCTTGCCTGCAACATAATAAGATAAAAAAAATTAACTTAGTAAAAATGTATATTAGTACTAAACAGACAAATCTTTCAACCAAAAACGATATTTGTCAAAAAAAGTTTGATTTATATTTTAATATAAAAAATAATAAACCATTTTACGTGCCAGCATCGTTTGAAAATACATTTTTTGCTCGTTTTGAAATTGTAAGATGTAGTGATAGCGCATACAATACGTGCCTGTTTAGCATAAGTTATCAAATCCCTTATCGCAATAACAAACGACGGTTCAAGTGGTTGAGTCTCGACCCACAATAACGCCTTTTTTAGATAATCCACGGTTTGCGTAGCAGAAGGTGGAATTTCAATGTCTTCGGAGTCTGTAGATAAATTTTCCGGCTCAGTGACTTCCACGGGATTGGATAAAATCCAAACCAGCATGTCGTCATCTGATACTTCCAGTCCAAGATCATGAGCTAACCACTGTACACCCAAAATAATACCTTTCATTGCTGATGTATATGTACAATTTTTCCAACAAGTCGAAAACGATTCTGTGGTGACTTGTAACCAAGCTCTATGTAATAAAATGAACGCGTCTTTTAATGTATATTTTCCTAAAAATCTTTGAATCGATCTTTCAGATTGTTGATCTAAAGACGCCTGAGTAAGAAGTAGAGCTGTGTATGTAGCTTTGAATTCAATAAATAATGTAGATTTAGAAATTGAATCTCCGTCATGGTTTTGTAAAGAAACTCCGTTATATTCGCATTTTTCTGGAATAAAAGATGCTTTATCCATAACCAATACGGCTTTTGAATTGATAGACAGAGCAGCTGGACAAAATTCTGTCTCAAACCACCATTTGAACAAATCTTGTGTAGGAAAACCATCACCTCCCCCTGCGTATACCACAGGTTGCCCCAACATATTCACAGTTTCCATACAAGGAGGTCTCCATCTCTTACCTATAACTAATACTCTGGTCCTGTGTCTTCCACTTTTGTTGCCGGCCATTAGTAGCCACACTTTTCGGTCTGGATTTACGGTGGTGTCCAATGTAACATCAGGAATACCATTGACATCAAAAGGAATTAATAGTCCAGCATAGGTTTCGTCATCATTGTATCCTTCCAAGTTACCTCGATTCTTCATGAACTTTTTAATCCAATCTAGAGTGATTATAGATATGACATCTGCAGAAACTTTGAGCGTTTTCAATATCATTATGGTTTTTTTCTTCAAGTTTAAGGGAGTAAGAGGTCGCCCAATACTCTTCGTCCATCGCGTGTACCAAATTTCCAGCTTTTTAATAATATCAGCTTCGTTAGCGATTCGAACTTTGGCTGGTTTTTTTATACGGACTTGCCTTCTAGTTTTCATCTTCATCATCGGTTACTTCCTAGCGGCGGACATATCGCACGAACGACGACTGTGACGCGACTGAAACTGGCGGGCTGGCTCACTCCAAATATATAAGTAAAAGGAGATGGACGGACATCAAAGACCAACAACGGAGATAGCTTTTGGAAAGGCCAAAGAACAAAGCAACTTTGACAGAGAACTCCACAGTCGACACCGCATTATATATATATTATGGTAGGAGAGCAGGACCTTTGATGTATGTCCCTTTGATGTTGCAATGCCTCCGCCCCCGACAGATAAATGCACTTTACCCCGTTACAAAGAGCTCTTTGACTCAAAGGCATATTTGATTCGCTTTTAATAACGATTATTTTTTAAACTTCAAAGAGCTATTTTTTTTAATATTCCGTTATGTTTTATAAAATAATATATCAGAAGGAAACTTGGTTGGTTTACATTTTCCTAAATAAATAATCTAAATAGGTATATAGTTTTATTTGTATGAAATAATAACGTATACCAGGCATATAGCAACCTTTATTTATTTTGTAAGTGGGAGTTCCAAATACAATAACATTTACCAAACTAATCTAATGACGTGTGTAATTCTGTAATTTAATCAATACAAGTTTCATAAAGTCAATTCCAACATAATCAAGTTTAGGACCCTAAGCTCGATAGCTTCCGGATATGTCCTTCGATCTCAAGCTGAGTTGGTCAATTCGTAATTCACACCACACACTAATGCCGATTTCCTTATTAAATAAATACAATAATAAATAAATGAAATACGATTTTAGTAAGTTTGAAAAAACGAAATTTTTCACTATTTATACTTTGTATACTATTATTATTATTATTGAATCAATTTGTTTATTAACAAGGAACTCGTTATAATTAAAATAATAACTATTAAGGAAAAGTTAATTGATTTATTATTATTGTTATTATTTATTATAGAACAGAATTTATACGTAGTTAAAAAATGTAAAAGTAAAATTATTGTATTCTATAATATTTTAAATGTTGTATTAAACGTTGTTTTAAATTGCCTACGTTAAGTATAATTTGTTTTATTAGATGTTGGAATAAACTTTAATTATCTTCTACATTTTATTTAACAAAGTAACAAACAACAAATAGTAATTAGACATTAATTTTTATTAAATGTATTCAAACTTTGATTTTTAATTATTAACGTTATTATTTTGTTCAGTATTCACTCGCCCGAAGTACATTATGTATTAATATGAAAAATGTTGTCATTGTATACACACACTAGTGAGGGTTTAGTGAAACATATAGAGGGGAATTTTTTAAATACAATTGTAAAGTCCCTTTTATCTTGTCATCGTCCCCTATCAATTTTTTATAATTGTTATATCTTGGATGGCACGCGTACCTCAATATAAACGAGCACACGACATAATAATGGCACGGTATTTTCTGTTCGTGTTTATTACACACGTTTATTAAATATTGTATCAATATTAATTTTTTTTTATACTTCCTGTCAGTTTCAGTAATATTTCTATATTTGGCCATGTGTACATTTTATTACTTTTCATATTTATATATTTGAAGGAAATAAATGAATTGCTATTTTATTACCTAGCGAATATATGCAGCGTGGGTGTTGTGAATATAACTATATAATAAATTAAATATATTTTATTCAACCACATATTCATCATAAATTGTAATACCAATTTGTGTATATTTTACATAACGTCTCATTAGAATAACATTAGGACTCCCTGCGGCCGAAGTGGCCCTGCTGCGAGGATTTACACTAAAGTCCTCGCCATGCATAGAATAACATTACCATTATCTACCCAACTAATCCTTAAATAATAGACACGTAAATGGGGACATGCCAAAATCCCGGTGACAGAGTATTTATGGTCCTTTTGTGCATTAAAAAAAAAAAAAAATTAAAAAAAAAATAACCCCCCAAAAATAATACGTGGGTACAAAAACAAGCCATACTAAACAATTTCTCAATAACATTCATATTTTTTAAAGCCGTTGGACCACGCCCACACGCTTTTTCAATCAGGATCTGATTGCAGATCAGTGAAAGGTTTCCGGGAACAATGTGGACCGATGAATATCTTAACGGAAAGCTCCATAATAGAGAGGGTTGGATAATATGAGGGTGCAGTTGTAATATATAAAGCCCATATGCACGATGATTCTTATCATTTGCGCAAGTAATACCACGGTTAAGTGCATTGTCAAAACTCGGAATAAATCTGGGCCGTGACATACTCTGTGATAAAAATTAAGCTGTCAATCAACTAACTTTGATACGAAATTTACCTACGGGAAAATTAAATAGTATTTTACTAGATAAAGTAGGTACAATACGAAAAATAAACTATATTTTCCTATACTATAATAATATACGATCACCTATTATTAATAGCAGTAGTACCTTTAATATATTATGCCAGCAACAAAAACATTCGTTATTCAAATCATACTGTATATTGTATTTTATTTTATTTCATAGCAACAATATTTATAATATTTTAAGGACATATTATGAATTATGATGTAACACTGTTTAACATTTTAAAATTCTGAAATTAAAACATCGGAGTAAAAATCTGTAAAAATATACATTTTGATGTAAGCATATGCATGTTATACAAATGTGGCTATTAATTAATATAATAAAATTCTATAGCTGGTTCCAAGAAGGTAAACGTTTTGTGAAAAGTTTTACGAAAATTTAGCATATTTGTACAGAATATAATATACCTAAATAATAGTTTTAAAAATATATTAATATTAATTGTTAGGTAATTAAATTTTAGACTGGATACAACAGCTAGTAAGACAGTCGTATTACAGACAATATTTAATTTCCCCATAGTAATATTTTTTCATATTGGCTGCAAAATAAAATTACTATGTTGATACATAAATTATAAACTCCTTGGGAATGTCGACAATACTTATTTAAAATATATACTATTTAATTTCATAATGTAATGTTAAAAGGTTATTAATTTAAGGTTCATAGGTTATATTAAAGGTTTATTTTCCATTTACTCATTAAAGCTTCCTAAAATCATACATGAAACGTTCAAATTACCAATACCGGCAATACCAGAGAAATTCATAAAATGTAAATGTCTAATAGTTTTATAGTATTATGTACGTATATTGAAGTCATTAAATAAAATTGTATATTTTGTCCCTCCAATACTTGAATATTTAGTAGAATAACATTATAATTATCATACCTTTCAATAGTACTTGACTTATTCACTAACATATTTTTTTTAATATTTAATTGGACGTCGTCACAGGGTCACTCAACTACACTCACGAGGACGAAAATGCACAGGATCATTATATAATTTTTCGAATTGTATAATGAATAAACAACAAGAATGATTGGTTGTGTTATTATATAAGAAAATACGCGTGCCTCTTTTTTTTTTTTTGCATGAGCAGATTTTTTTTCATAGGGACGGAAATTAAAGTGTCCGGTATCCATAAGAAAAAAGACCCTTTGGGAAAAAACGTGGGATACTTTTTTTCATAAGAACCCGCTGTCGTATACGGTTCAAAGACTTCGACTTTTTTAGGTATGTAAAAAAATAGTCGAACGGGTATTTTAGCCTTTTGGCAGGAACGCAAAGGGCCACCAAATGTCTGGAATTTAAATTTTCTCTTTATTCATTTTATTTTCACTATTATTACTTTTTTTTATGCCAACAGTTTCTCTTATATATTTCACCGATATATTTGAACGATGTAAATACATATTCTTTATGTAAAATTAAAAAAAAACTGTATGATATACATTGTAGGTATTTGCATGTATTGTGGTGGGTACCTATGTTTAAAACTTATTAATGCAGAAAACTAGAAAAGGTTGTGAGTTGTGAAATAAAAGTATATTTAATAAGTTTAAAATGAAATATAAATAAATAAATAATAAAGTTAATGTAAAAATAAAATTCTTTATGCTAATACAGTTAAAAAATATTTATTTATTAATATAGGTAATAAGTTATAATTATGATACTATACCTACTAATATTAATATATGCTTTTTAATACATACACAAGATTGCAGTACCTATATGTACTAGGACATTATACATTTTGAATTTTTAAATACAACACTATATTATACAATTTATTTTAATAATTTATTATTTTAGTTATAGTTTAATTAAGATTAATAATATTAATAAGTAATAATCATTTGAGCGGCTTTTTAAAATCGTTAAATTACAGAAAATAGGATTCTATGGGTAAATTTCCTTGTTTATTTTACAATCGTTTTCCCATTTTACTAATGCACCAGAGGGTGAATGGCTGAATAATAATAAAGTATAAATCCCCAACGATTTCTTTTCATCTTCAAACACAAAAGGAAAACTTATAGTAATAATACTAACTGGAAATAAAAAAAAATATAGGAAAAATGTTAGCTGTGTAAAATGTACACGGTGACTCGTAAACTGTACCAAAATATTATTGCATCATTATGACCGAAATTAATAAAAACCTATAATTGGTACATATGATAACATAATGTTATATAAAATTCTAATTTTCACTCTAATATTGTATAACATCAGTTTAAAGTTAATTTTAATTCAGTTATTCCAAAATGAATTTTTACATAAAATAGTTACTTTCCTATCCTATAAGCTACACAACTCGTGCAAATATAATATAAACTACATGTGTATATATTTTCGATAGTAATTTAGTGCCATAGGAGAGCTCATCCTTCTTGATCACTGGGACTGTCATCAGGGGGATGTAATGGGATAGGGTTGATTGGTTACAAGACAAGTGGACCGAATATGATGACTATCCCTCCCCTGGGCATTTGTATGTTAATGACGTGCATATAGTTAGGACTGGGAGACTGACGAGTGCAATTTTCATCCCTTTGATGTCTCCCTTAATCCTGTTACTCGCCTCTACGGCGCAGTTTCTTCGTCTCAGGCATTTCCCAATGTTTCCGGACTACATCAAAATAAAAAATATAC